CGCCCGATGGTGGACAGCTGGTCCAGCTGCTGCTGCACCAGCCCCGTGTCCTCCAGAGGGTCCTCCAGGCCATCCCTGCAAAGAGCACACGGAAAATGGGGCAGGGAACTCCCAGGAGCAGCAGATCCTTGGTTTTGCTGACAGGAGGTGCAGGTTGGAATTCACACAATTGTGGAATGGTTCTGTTTTCCCCACGGAATTTGGGTTGGAAAAGGTTTCAAGCACCTTCCATTGGACAATATCTTTAATGGCCTGCTTGCCAAGCGTTGGGAGCAAATTCCCAGTGCTTCCAAAGAGAAGGAAAACAAAGCAGGGAGTTGTGATTTGTGATGTTTGATTTAAGTTTTTCCCACAGAATTTGGGTGGCAAGGGGTTTCAAGCACCTTGCACTGGACATCTTTAACGGTCTGCTTGCCAAATTAACCAGGAATTTCATAGTGCATTCCCAGAGTAAATTCCCAATGCTTCCAGAAGGAAAAAAAGAATGAAAACAAAGCAGAGAGTTACAGTTTGTGTTGTTTGATTTAAGTTTTTCCCACAGAATTTGGGTTGCAAGGGGTTTCAAGCACCTTCCATTGGACAACATCTTTAATGGCCTGCTTGCCAAATTAACCAGGAATTTCAGAGCACGTTGTTGTGAGTAAATTCCCAGTGCTTCCAGAGAAAAAAAGAGAAGGAAAACAAAGCAGGGAGTTACAATTTGTGTTGTTTAAGTTTTTCCCACAGAATTTGGGCAGGAAGTGTTTAAAGCCCTGCTGCACCTTCCACTGGCCTGGTTGCCAAATTAGCCAGGAATTTCAGGGCACACTGTTGTGAGTAAATTCCCAGTGCTTCCAGAGGGAAAAGAGAATGAAAACAAAGCAGGGATTTGTGATTTGTGTTGTTTAACTCGAGTTTTTCCCACTGAATGTGGGCTGGTAAAGGTTTCAAGCACCTTCCATTGGACAACATCCTTAATGGCCTGCTTGCCAAATTAGCCAGGTATTTCAGAGCACGTTGTTGTGAGTAAATTCCCAGTGCTTCCAGAGGAAAAAGAGAATGAAAACAAAGCAGGAAGTTGTGATTTGTGTTGTTTAACTCGAGTTTTTCCCACTGAATGTGGGCTGGTAAAGGTTTTCAAGCACCTTCCATTGGACAACATCTTTAATGGCCTGCTTGCCAAATTAACCAGGAATTTCAGGGCACACTGTTGGGAGCTAATTCCCAGTGCTTCCAGAGGAAAAAGAGAATGAAAACAAAGCAGAGAGTTGTGATTTGAGTTGCAAAGAGCTAAAATCCCAGCCCGTCCTGCTCCGTGCCATGGGCAGGGCCACCTCAGCCATGTCCTCTCCAGGGGGAACACCTGGACTCTTCCCAGCCCTCCCAGCCCCAGGAGCATCAGCAGAAGCCTCACCTGAGGATGATGTGCAC